AAATGCGTAAACTTACTAATTTCAAAGTTGAGGGGCAACCTGAAGATATTAATCGATTTCGATGAAATTTTATCCAGATCATATTGAGGTCCATAGCTAACTTTTGGGGGATATTCCTAATCAATTTAAAAAAAAAAATTTTTTCAGCCCACCCTAATATATAGTATATATATATATATATATACATATATATGAATTCAAGTTCTTAATTTACCTTTGGTTGGAAATTTCGAACATTTCCACTTATAGGATACGAAAGTCCATGACAAAGATGAACACCAGCATTTCCAAAACCAACGCCCGCCATTGTACTTGCTAAATGCATATGACTCCTAGCTTCCAAGTCTTCTTGATTATAAACTGCTCGCTCAAAGTATCTATGTAAAAAATTACATATTCATTTATGAATAAACAATATTTGTTTAAAAAAAATAAGTTTTGGAAAAGTAAACTGTGTACTTTCTTTGAAGCCAGTTATCTTAAAACAAAAAAATTTTTTAATATTCTCAACATTTTTCAAATTTTAGCATTACATTTAATTTATGTCATATTGGTGGAGAATTAAGAAGATATCAAAAATTTTTAAGCGATTTTTATGCTATTATTTAAGAGACGACTTTCGTTCTTTGAAAAAAAATTAACGTAATTATTTTGAAATCAATTAGAATTATTTTGAAATCAATTAGAATTATAGATACTTATATTTTAATATAATTTCGTAATTTTATTTTTGACTTGATAAAAATTAACCTACTATTTATCTGGAAGTCTTTGGTTCAAAATACGTATTGGATGTGCAATTTTGCATAAGTAGTTGACTGATTAATTACTTGCGCATAACTTGAAGAGCATATCGCGCCCAGACATCGCTAATAGGATTGCTGCCTTGATAAGCTGGTCTCAAAATTGGATTTGATGGGCATGGTGTTCTCTCTGTATAGGGCACCGCCGTGAAAGATTCTAAAGCGTGACAGAGCACATCGAAACCAGAGTAAGCACATACTCTCTCTGGCAAAGTCAGAGTATGTTTGGGATCGATGATTCCTAGTGTAGGACGTAGAGATCTGTAATAAGATGATAAATTAATATTTTTTAAACCTTCTTTCTATCCAATGACTTATACTGAACATTGCCTGTTAGCGATCCCTGTTTTGGCCTTTAGCGGCCGATAATCGAAGATAGATACTCCAGTTGTCTCAGAACCGGTACCGGAGGTTGTCGGAACGGCTATGAGTGGTTTCAAAGATACTCGGATCGGTTTACCTTTTCCGATCGGTGCATTTACGTAATCCAAAAATTCGGCAGTTGGATCGCAACTATATAGATTTGCCGCTTTACAAGTATCCATCACGGAACCACCGCCAACCTGCGAATCAATAATAAAAAATAATAATAATATGATATAATTGGTAATTATGCAGTAATTCTGTAAATTAATTTTGTATTATATGTATATTATATCAATTATTTAAGGGATCATTCTCCAATGACCTTGCATAATTACCATATAATCATATAATAATTAATAATAAGTATATATTTTATTAATTATATTATTACATATAATAGAAATAAAGATTCATTTAATGATATAATATACATGTAATTGATACAAAAAGAAAATGTCATTTAATTTATATGTATGTTTTACAAAGAGTGTGATAAGATCAACATTTTTTCTTATAGCGTTTCTTGCATACGTACTGCTACAAAAGCATCAAAATTTTCACGCTTGGCAAATTCGATGGAATCTTGTAAGCTTTGTTCAGTTGGTTCCACTCGTACTTTATCGTAAATCTCGAATTGAATCCCATATTTGGAAAGGCTATCAATAGCAGTTTTTACAGGGGCTAAATTCATCAAATTAGGATCAGTCATCAGACACGTTTTCTTCGCTCCTAAATTTTGTATATCCATTCCTAACTCTTTCGTTACTCCTACTCCATATCGCACCGTAGAACATGCCATCTAAAATTTCATGTAATTTTTAATAATTAACATTATACATAAATTACAACATTATTACAATTCAATTGTCAAACGTTTCAATAATATATAGAAAAGAGTAAATTACTGAAATGAATTTAAGAATTATGCTTTTAAAATTTTTAGTCTCATATTTGTGAGATACGTGTATTGTTTTTTGTATATATAATCAGTCGGATTTAATTTCTAAAATAAAGGAAGAAAGAGAGAGAGAGAGAGAGAGAGAGGGGATATCTTACTATATCGAATAATCTTTAAATAATAATCTCTAATTTTAAGAAATAGTTTTGTTAAAATATATATCTCTGTTGCATCTACGACATATTTAGATTATTATCAGGAAGTGGCATTGAATATATGATTGCTGTAAACACGTTATCTTAAATGAATGCACGTATGTGAGAGGTTTTTGATTACATAATCGCAGAGTCTGCGATAAAATCAATGCATTTAACATATGTTTTAAGAAGAGTTCTTAATAGTTTCTCTGTCTTTATACAAATTATACCTCGAAAGCATATTCCTTATCGGTCATAATATTTGCTGCAGTGCTTCGAGCTTTTCCATGATCCCATACGCTAGTAGCTCCTGGATTTCCGTGCGCTGGACATCTGCAACTAAAAATCCAGAACAGTTTAAATTTCACGTTCAATATGCTTTTATTCTTTCACCCAAAATAAACCCATCGAGAAATTGAGCTAATGCGCGCTACTTTAACGGATTATAAGTGCGTATAGATTCTAACTGATTGTCACTGATGTTACATTCCATTCTCACATTCTTACGTCTCTTATATAATATTTTTACAAAATAGAGACGAAAATTATTTCCACTGCTTTAATAATATAAAGCAGGATTTTAAATGTACTTATGTTTGCTTATATCAATACTTTTTAAAAAGGAAGGTAAATAAAAATATAATGAAGATGTTCTTTTGATGGAAAGGATCATTTGTTTTGCGAGAACTAATTTTAATTGTAAAAACTTAAATGTTCTGTTTTTAGTAGTTATTATATATTTAATTTTAAGTAATGTTCATTCATTATTAATTATAGCACGATCACTCAGTTTAGTTCTCCTTATCGCGTATTTTAGTTTAAAAACATAATGTATTTTTGAATAAAATTTATCATATTGATTGATCTACGATAGAGAGCGTAATCAAAACACTTGGCGATTTATTTAATAACATTGCTATTGTATTAACTTTTTCCAAATAAAAATTATAATGTAGTTTGCTTACGACTGAGATGAAATGACTTGCAGAAGTTCAATGACGCGTCGCCTCGGCAACATTTTAAATACTTGTTAGGAGTGATCGTCTAAAAAATAACAAAGTAACAGTGGTTGGAACAAATTTTAACAGGTCTTTTGATTGAAAATATGGCGGAGTGACGTTCTCGACAACCTCTCGTGCTGTACTCTTGTCTTGATATCACGATCAGTTCATATTCCCCTTCCTTTCACTAAAGCCTGTTTACCAGTTAAAGCTTTTGATGAGGTGGCTCTGTTATCCATGTGTTCGTATTCATATGTGAACAGGGCTGTATCAATAGAGCTACGTTTTACAATAGTGTTACTTGCTTTCTGTTCAGGTTAAAAGATCATTTCCAAAATCTTGATGGTTTAAAATTTAAACATTTAACAATTAAATTAAATTTATATATTGAATCGAATATTGCAAAAAGAATGTTATAAAAGAAATATTAAGAATTGAGAATTTTTCATCTATATAATTTATGAAGAGAAGAATATAAAATTTTATTTGTGTGTTACATTTCCAAGAGTAATTTATATTCAATTAAAACTTTATATAAAAATAAAGCTTCTAAAATAAATATTCCACAGCTTAGAATTTTTAGAACTGATTTAGTTAAATTTCTAAAGATACAAATGTATTTAAAATTTGAATAGCTTTATTGATAGCACAGAACGATTTGATAAATTTTATAAATTACTAATATTTCGAAGTTATATACATATAATAATAAATTAGAGAATTTTTCCTACAAAAGTAACTACACACATGTTTTATCTATTGTAATTTTTTGAATTATAACAAATGTTAAATGTATACTCAAAATATCTCGAGACACGGTAGTGTCTCGGCGCTAAGACAATATAATTTACATTAAACATGGTATATTTTTTATGTAATATTTGCGGTTTTTTATCAGTAGAGTTTTCCATAATGAGTTCTGGAATACCTTGAATAAATAGTGCAGTGCAAAAAATTAGTGCTAAATGAGTGCGCCAATGAGTGACCTGATTTTGATCGGCTATTCTTATTTTGCACAAATTTATCGCGTTGATTCTTGTTGTGATAGAAGTTATTCAATCGAGCTTATTCCACGTCGTCTATCTCTATAAGTATACTCTCTGTTATACACGTTTTATTCTTTGAACCTTGATTGAGTATTTATCACTTCTAAAAATTTTGTAAATAAAATATTGTATTTTTTTCGAATCCCAATAACCTTCCTGATTTTTAATATTCCTTTTTTATCATCATTAATGTCTTTTTTCTTTTTGTAGTATACTTAAGCTGGTTTTTATATACTATTTCTTTTTTTAACGAACTAGAATAAGGCAGAAAATTTAAATTTGATTCTAAATAAAATTTTATTAAAACGATATTTATTATTTACAATGTGTATATATATATATATAATATATAATAGCATAATAGAAATGTGCGTGCGTAGCGACATAACGTACGTACAAAGTATTAGTTTGAACGTAAATTTTCGAATTTTCATTGAATTAGGATATTCTCACCATAATTATTGTTATATTGTTGGCATATATTACTATGACTGGACATCCTACAGGAAGCTCTCTCGTTTCGTTTCGTATAAAATTTTACATACGTAATTCTTTCCTTCATTCGTCACCGACCACCAATTATAGACATGCTTTTGCCCAATTAACGCAATATTACTATTATTATTAAATTACATCCTCATGTAGAATCTTCATTTGATTAAATATGTGCTTCTTAGGCAGTACTGCTCTTTTTCGAATTATTCTTAAAAATCCGCTACTTAAGTAAAGCTGTTATTACTCAAGTAAAGCTGTTATTACTTTGAGCTTATAAATAATAAGTACATTGTTGTATTTTTCCGTAACTCTACTTTTTGTAAAAAATAATCTAATTTTTCATTTGTTTCTTACAAAAAGCTACATAATTACATATGATTGTAACACAGTACTGCAGTTTATATATCTAAGATATATTATAACTATCCGTTATTTTAAGATGTATTATAACTATTCGTTTCTATCAGGCATCTTTGAGTTAATAATAACAATTAATTTGAGTTAATAATAACAAATGCTTATTAATCACGTGTTTTATGTAAACTTTGAGAACACGACAAAGCCTAGAAGAAATATTTGTCACGATCAGTCGTATTCGTTTCTAGGAGATCGAATTAAATGCTCAGTTATATTCTTTCAATCAAAACGAATTATAACAATTTACCAACAGGATTATATATTACAAGCTATATGGTCAAAAGAATCTGCCTAATTATTTATTGGCTTCGTCGTTCACCCAATAACAGTCTGAGAACTTCTTTTGATTCGCGAGAACAGCGCAAAATGATTTTCTACGATTCGCTGTTCACAACCAATCACATCGGTAGATTGCCCAGTAATGGGTCAATTGATTAATCAGGAAACAAGTTCTCTTATACACTCTCTGGTACGATTTTATCGTAATGGAAGGTGCTGCTCGAGTAGAAGCTACCGCGTTTTGGCATGTGAGGCGTGGCTATTTCTTCTTGCAAAGGTTTATACACCAAACCGCAGTTTTTGTTGTCAACCAGACCCTGACGAAGAATCATGGGTGGCCTGATTACAGGACCTCGTCCTCGTTTATTCGCCAAGCAGCAGGCAAGGCGAGCTACCAACAGGAAGATTACCAGAACAGACAGAACAGTGCCGGAAACCAACCAGACTTTGAAACCGGGTTTCCAGTTGTACCAAGTGTGATATTGCGTGGTGACTGCGAAGTCTTCGTCGTATTCTTGATCCTGCGTAAGTCGCGGCTCATCGATATGCTGCATGCCGTGATCGATGTTCAGTTTCTACAATAAACGCATTCAGCATTTTAATTTAGGAAATAATATAATAAATAACTTCGGTACTTTAATGGCTCAGGACGTTCGTACGGAATACAAGAGATTCGAGTTCGACTCCCGACCGAGGTAATATTTTTCGCAATAAATTTAATTACAGTTTTTTCAGCATATTAACATCTTTGAAATATGATGCCTCATTGAGCATCGAAATTATTAGAATTTAATTTGATTCGCGAGATTATTACAGTGGTTTAATTGTGTTTAGAGTCCGGAAATATTTCGATACACAGTTCCTTAGATTTATTAGAATTTAATTTGATTCGCGAGATTATTACAGTGGTTTAATTGTGTTTAGAGTCCGGAAATATTTCGATACACAGTTCCTTAGATTACAAGTGTGGTATGTATGTCAAGTACATATATATCATACTTAGTAATTTAAGATTGAATTATTTAAGCATTTAAAGATCTAGTTTCGACCGATATAGGATTTTAATTTATCGATTGTGTTTCTCACGGTCTAAAAATGATATTATAATATAATAAATTATAATACAAAGAAATTAAAAATTATATAAATCAAAAGAGATATTAAATAATTAAAATATATGAAAGAAACATTTCTAAAACGTATATGTGTCATTATTTATTGTCGTTTTACCTCATCGTTATCGAGTTCATGTTTCAACAAGGGATCGGAGTCCTCTACAATATCAATATTTAGAAGAGTATCTTTTTGTGTGCTTTTGCCAGGAGGTGATCTAGCTGGTGGACCATCATCGATTCCATCGCAAATTATCTTTGCCAAATCTGTCCATTGGTTGATGTCCATAAAGTTATCAATATCTTCAATATCGTCATATTTATCACTGATAAGCCTGTAAAAACATGACAGAGAGAAAGAGAGATTGAGAGATGTCCTATGTAACATTTAACTGATGACTAAACTTGAATACTCACTCAAGTACCTCTGTAGGTGCAACACCATGATCGGTAAGCCATTGCACAGCTTCAGTGAACTCGGTGTCACAATCCAAGGGATTATGAGACAAATCCAGACCGGTGAGATGTGGTGTGGCCCTCAGTTCCTCGACGGTGATTCGTCGTAGAAAATTATCACGAACCGACAGGAATCTAAACAGGAGCGAAAATGTGAGATACATTGATCAATGGATCTTTTGACATCAAAATACACTGGTCAATATATATCTTGATAAAAATGTCATAGAATAATTTTGTTCGTAATACAGAAGATATGTTGCAAAATATAATATTAAAAAAAGATTATAAATTATCCTCAAATACGACAATTCACGAAAGAACACGGATCATAATAAATTTCTGTAAGTATCTTACCGAAGACTCTTCAACGGCACTCTAGCTTCACTCCAGACGCGCTCAAGATTGCATCGGCTCACGTCCAGCTTGGTGAGACTTGGAAGGTCCAGGAACGGCGTTACTTGCAATGTTCTCAATGGATTACGAGCGAGATTCAGTTTGCTCAAATTTATGGCGCCGCGGAACATGTTGGGTCGGAGAGCATTAATGATATTATCAGACAAATCCAGTTCACGAAGAGACGAAAGATTATCCAGGAATCCATCGGGCAAGGCGGATAGACGATTCTTTGCTAGCTTTAACCGAGTCAACGCCGGCATTTCGTCAAATGTGCCAGGCTTGAGGCTATCCAGACCACAATTTGCGCACTCGAAACGGGTAATGCTGTTAAATGAAAACAGCAGATTATTGTATATATACAGACTAATTTATTTGATTCTTAAAATCAAGCGGCAGTGATTTATTTACCTGAATGTATTAAATTGCAAGTCGTAAGTTTTAAAAACTGGCAGAACTTGCAAACCGGGGTTGTCGTTCATCAGCAGAACCTGTAGTCTTGGATTGGATTTGAAATGATGCTCAGTTAATAAGGAAAGCTTATTATCGCTGATATCCAAATATTGTAATTGCTCGAGATTGCTGAAAGCATGCTGATGGATTCTCTTCAAATTATTCGATTTGACATATAGTTGATCTAATAATGGTACGCCTTCTAGATCATCTTTACCAATTACTCTGATCTTATTTTTCGAAGCATCGAGCATCGTCAGTTTCGAGGAACTTATGGTGGCCAACGTTGATAGATTATTTCCTGAAAATAATTTTTTTCTATATCAATTTCTCAATGGTTAAAAAAATCTTAGTTTACTATTGGCATTAGATGATAGCTATAATTAAATTAAAATTTATCATTCTGTTAAATTCAATCAAACATTTATAATTTTAATAATTTTATATTGATAAGTAATATAATGATACATTCATACATGATGATATGTTGTCATTCTTACCAGCGACACGAACAATTTGAACATATTTATCAACAAATAGATCGATCGGGATTTCATCCAGGATATTATCCGAAAGGTCCACTTCCATAAGCTGGTCTAACGAGTCAAAGATCGTGCTGTCGATCTCTCTTAGCCGGTTGCCACGTAAATTGATGAAATTGAGGCTGTGCATTTTGGAGAACGCGGTGCGTTTCAGCCGTAATATTCCATTGTTTGAAAAATCGAAATCGGTGACCGAGGGTGCGTGCAACAGATAATGCTTCGACTTAGAGTCATGCATGTGCTTAAGCGGATTACCAGCAATCGTGAGCAGGCTGAGTTGCGTGTTGTTCTGGAAGGTGTTCGGGTGGATGTCCTGCAAACCATTGCGTGTCAAGTTCACGGCGAACAGGTACGTGATGCCATTGAAGGCCGTGCGATCTAGCTCGACTATGCGTGTGTCGACAATGGTGATGGATTCCACATGTTGAAGACCGCGAGCCCGCAGAGCGTTCGGTCCCAGTCGTATTTCGCCGGCGTTTTCGATGCGCAAATGAGCAATACTTGATCCAAAGGACTGCTCATTTACCAGTTTGGTGCATCTGTAGATAGTAAAAAGAAAAGAATGGGAATAATTAACGGCAAAATTGTATACTGCTTAAGTGGCAAGATGGCGTCTTAATGACATCTCATTGACGTAAAAGGTGTCACTTTTCTACTTGACTCATTCTATTCAGCTACGCTGTAAAAAGTGCAGTTTTTTAAATATTTACGTTTAAAACAACTTTGTAAAATAAACGTTTAATAATAAAAAATATTTCAATATTAAACGTTTTAGCGTTTTAAATCCAAATATATAATATTTTATTTATTAATAATATTTGAAACTAAAACATCTTTGTGTTTAAAAAACGAAGACAAGAATAAAATATTTTAATATTTTAAAATTAAACACTTGTTTTTTTAGTGTATGTTACATTCTAAAAATATGGATATTGATCATACGGTGTTTATATTTTCACTGTGTTGTATTAATACTAACATGGTGATGATCTAATACGTGGCTTTCAAACAATATGTTGGTATCAACACCAAGGTGAGGATTATATTAACCGCATGGTGTTAAATCCACATTCATCTTTTTTTAGAGTGTAACTATCTAGCGATTGTCATCTCTAATATTAGACAAATTATAATTAACCTTTTGACATCGATTTAAATTCGATCGTTCTAGAAGAACATCTAATGACTTTGCTATATAATTAATTATATATAACTAATATTAAAATGTTAAAGAACTTATAAAGCATAAAGGAAATCGTTATGACGATTAAATAAGATAAAAAAAGGTATATATATATATATTAGAATAATTACATTTAAATATAATCACAACATAGATACGTAATTTTTTAAATTGCCTCGTTTTATCGTGTTTGAGCACGTCCTTGAACTTTACGAAAATAATAATAAAATTCTGTATCGAGACCGGAGTATTCATTTGATTTTTATTAACTCTTTATTAATGTAGAAAACTGTGTCATATGATTGCGTTCTAAGCCGGAAACAGGCTATTCACGAACTCTTTATCTGCCGTCACTAAGGGACGTTATTCAGTTACATAATGATCCGATTAGGAACATACGTTGCAGTTGTTGCAGCGGCATATTGCCCGGCGCATTTACAGTAATCAGGGCACTGTGTCATAACTTCTTCATCATCTTCCACCGGCAGGTCGTCGTCCTCGTATTCTTCGCCGAAATCGTCATCATCGAAGTTTGCCTCATCGTCGTCCTCGTAGGGCATAGCTTCGAGTTTCTTCAATTCCTCTTCTTCCTTCAGAAGCGAATTTGATACATTTAGTTTGATCGGTTTAGAGGTCGTCTTTCGGATGTTTGTGCTGTCCCTTTGCGCTTCAGCCTTGAAAGTCTTCGCCACCTCTTCTTGAATCTAAATAAACGTTTTTTAAATCGTAATTAAGTATAGCTTAATTAAATAACACAGCAAAAATCAAATTAAAACTGACTGTATTTCAGAATTCAATTTTTAAAAATTATGTTTGAATTTTAAGAATTTTCTCTTTAATTATAGATACATTATTTATGTCTACATATTGCAATGATGTAAGTAATTAGCGGAAAATTTTTATCCGCCAATATTTAATAATTATGTTAAGCATAACTTCGCAAATAATTGAACTCTCTTTTATGTAGAAAGATATAACCGCACTAATTTCACTAGAGAAAATGTTATATAAGATAATAAGTATTCTTCCTATCCGCATTTACCTTAGCGTCGGTAGCATCTTTGTCTAAAGTCTGGATCTCTTGCATCAGTATGTCCTTCACATTCGTAAAGGGTCTCGCATAATCTATAAAGTTGTTTCTCGGTGTAGTTTTCGCAGATTCAACAGTCGTTTTATTCTCTGAACCGACTTCTGTAGCGAGTGGCGAAATAGTTAATGCATCGGTTGTGAGAGTAGCAACTGCCAAGAAGATGGTCAGCAGCCAAGCTGCTGAGATCTCCATATTATGGCTTATTCTGAAAATAATCGATCTTCGTTATTTGACAAGACAAGAATATTTTATATGTAATGCTTACTAGTAGTTCTAATGCATTAACAAAGATATTTGTACTCATAATTAATTCGGACATCAGAGTTCTTTATTATTATTTATTAATTGCAATCGTTCTTCTAGTTTGTATACGAAAATAAAACAAAGTCTGTGCAATTTATATATATATTTCATACAAATAATTAATTAAATACGATTTTAATCTTTCTTTAGAATTTTTATTTAGTTTAAATTTTAATTTATAAGAATATGCTTTAGCTTATTTTTTTATTTTTTAAAAAATAATTAAAAAAATGACGATCTTTCTTAATCTTTAAAACTTTTTAAATTGAAGTACAGGGAGTACATCACTTCTAAAGTGGTCTGTGTAACGTGAGACTTTTTCTTATTCGTTCTCAAATAACATCTGCCGACCAATTTATTTCACAAAGCAAACGTTGTTCTGTTGAACTTTCCGAAACATATTTCATAAATATGGAAATAGACGATTTACAAAAATTTAAGAAATATAATTTTTAATTTTTATTAAAAATATAATTTTAATTTATCAATTATTATTAAATCAGAATATCCTTTTTGTATACGATTGTTTATGCACACCGATTTATAATGTTATGGAACGCTTTGTTATAATGATTTTTCACTCTTCTGTAGCGTAGTGCTAAGTTGTATTAAAGTTTTCAAGAAATTGAGTGTTGCGTTGTGAGGCGTCACGTTCGTGTCAATGCAATCAAGTGCAAGAACGGAAACTCGCAGTTTACAAAGAAACAAGAGAAAACTTCTTCCGGAGTACCTCGAATCATTGCACTAAAGTTTCTTCTACCGAACCGGATGTGCTATTTTGATGTCTCTTTGCGGACGTAAAAGGGAACTTAACCGTTCTACTTATTTTATTGCTGTAAATGCGAAGTATCGTAATCCTTCTTATATGCAATGTAATTTATTTAAAAACGCAATATAATTTATTTAAAAACTTGTTGACTCAAAAATTTCTAATCTATCGAATCATCTCTTAAATAGAGTTGGAATAATAATCGAGACTTTCAAATAATCAAATTTTTGTAGAAGAGTGTATCTTTACCTTGATGATTTTCAAAAGTGATCGCGTCACGAGGAATAATTCAAACTCTTGCTCCATTCGCAATGAAATTTTAACGAATGGGGTACACCCGACGCAACTACGGTTCGCGTTACTGCACAACGTTACTGCCCCACCTATTGACGCTGACGTTAGATAACAGTGACAGTTTGCAGACTGGCGTGACTTCTGGCACATATGTGAATAAACTGGTACGGACTTCGATAAACGGAAATGAAAAAACGTATGCAGTTCTGGACAAAGATGTTCCGATCTTCAAAAGAATCGATCTTTCCAAACAACAATAACGATCTATTTTGCGAAAATTAATTTTTTTAATTAAAAAGAACTATTTTAAACCGATCTTTTTTCATAAGGAATTGCTATTTCTTTTTTAACAGTGAGGGCATTTTGAAGCGATCTTTTTGCAAAAAATCGATTTTTAGTGAATCAATCCGGAGATCATACATCCCTAGTTTTAAATAGTCATTAGATGATAGCAGAAACAGAAGTTATTAAAATAATGGGAAATATCTCTTACAAATGAAGCAATTTTTAAACATGCGCGTTATTAAATACATATTGCATTGTTACACAATATTATCGTAATCAGAGACACAAAGAAATATTCTGCATAGGAAATACACCATCAAACAAAAAACCGTCACATCGTTTTTTTTTCGCAACGTGTTTCATTACCTCATTTTCATGCAACTTAAGTGCTGATTATGCTGAAGCTAATTTATAAACTGCTGTATTTACATTATACATTGAGCATTAATTTACTAGAAAAAATTGCGGATAATAATCACAATAATTATTACAGAAATTGTTCCATTACAATAATATTATTATAATATTTTTATGTTATTTATACATAATGAATGTTACACAAACGACGTGAAACCTGTTTGCATTAGTTACGAACGTATTTGGTTGTACGTGGGACGAACAACTTCGTAACTGGTGTGAAGGGGGATTATTGTCTCGAAAGTTGATCGATTAAAATAAAATATCGCACGTACAGTCTAAGAGAAGAGCTAATCAAAGAGTTTTGATTATTTTAAATAACTTATATCCCTCAACATATAAATTTCTAAAGCACTGAAGCATAATTATTATTTTGTTAAGTAGCGTTCAAGCTAAATGCGTTACGTGTATTCAATCGACGTACGCCTCTATCAGTCACGTATTCTTTATCAAGAGTTGTGTGACAAAAGCTTTTTTACAAGGTACGAAGATCGATTTTCTAACCGAACGTTTTTATCAATCGTGGTTCTCAATGTTTTTCGCGAATGTAACCAGAACTGGAGTAGTTGGAAATTTTCAGGTGGGCACAGATTAGGACGTAGAACGAGAAAATGCGGTGAGATTTTGTAAAAAAAAAATAACTTTAAGATGTAACCTCACAAAGTTTCGCCTATATTAATTTAACAATTAATTTTTGTAGAACGACTATCTTCTTCACCTGTTTGATTCAGTATACAAGTAGCTATAAATCAGTTCTTCACAATAAATGTAAGATTTAATAACAATTACAAGAATATATCCATAAGAATTTGACAATGTAAAAATTGATATTATTAAGAAGCGACAGGGCGAAGAAATAATATTGCATTGTTCTCTCTCTCTTTTTTCTTTCCTCCTCTCTCATATTATCGTTCAGATATATCGAGCAATTTTATTTGCGTCGCGTCGTATTTCATTCCTGAAGCTGATCCGACTCGGCAAAAATTGATCATACATTCATTCTCAGAGCGGGATTTATGCGAGTATAATATCGTTCTCTTACGCTTCCGCGTAAACAATTTTCTGGCGTGGACTTCAGCTTCGAGATGCAAATGCAAGGAGCGCGAAGAATAGTTTATCAGCAACGTATATCTTCTATGTAAGAAATACATCGGTATGCGGTACACCGTGGTGACTTGTAAATACTGAAATCGCGGACAATTATTTTCGCGTCAGAAAGACGCAGACCAGTTCTGAGAAACTCTCGACTGCTATATAGATGATACTAGAATCTTAATCAAAATTGAAATAACAAATAATGTAGCTTGGCAATCTTATCTCAATGAGCATTTTGAAAAAATCACGACTAGTTAATGTTATTGATAATGTTATTCTTACTATTCATTACTAGTTAATTATATTTCTCGAAGAATTTACAATACACAATCAACGCGCTGCGCAATAGTCATTCGAGATGCTTTTTGTCATTTGATGACAATGGAGTTATCTTACTGGATGCTTTTGTTTCGTTCGGCAAGCGATCGCCAGACTACGTGCGGATCATACATATGTCGATATTTAATCTCGATGATTCTTTTAAACTGAATTGCGATTGAGCAAAGGATAAGATTAAGATCCTCTTCATTCTTAGAATGTCATCCTAATTCTCGATCATTCAATCGAATAATCTTGAATGAATTAAGCGAATTATGTTTGTGCTTGACATTCGCACCAGCAGGACGATTTTTGACCGTTTTGACTACTTCGTGATACGTTTCATTGAGACCAACTGAAAGAAGATATTCAGGTCCACGGTTCCCCCATGGAACTTTTCGTTCTTTTCAATGCCATATGGGCGCTTCTTTGTTGACTCGGAGAAATTTCTTGAGAAAAGATGAAGATCGACACATCGTCGTTAGTGGAATGTATCTAGAGGAAGATTGAACGTAAAATGAACAAACATACGCGTTTACGCGTGAATTTAAGAAGCGGAAGCTAAATATAGGACCCACGAGTTCCATCTGGAGTCTTTGTTCGATCTCTCAAAGATAACTTGACGGCTTCTCGGGGTTTAAGCCAGGTAGAATTACTTGCTTCGAAACGAAGCGCAGGTGGTCAGCTCCTCCCCTCGAATCCTAAATTGCCGGCGGGTCCAGGAAAGCAGGAAACCAACCTAATTTGAAAGAGATCCATGAAATCTCGACGTTTCGGTACTTTCGAATCACAGCGGGTCATCTAGACAATTTTAATTCGCGTAAAAATCATAATACTAGTAAAATTGAAATAGTAAATTGTAAGGAAATATTCGTGGAATAAGAGAATATTAAATTTAGATAAAAGTATAAAAATAAATACAAAAGAATAGCCATCAATTGAGCGAATACTGATTACTGATTACTGATAATATATATGATAAGCATGAAAACACAGATTTTAAATAGAACAAAATTCTTAAAAATTTTTTGCTTTTCTACATTTATTTTAAAATACTTCAAAAATTTATCTTTAAAAATGATTATAGAGAATCTATTTGAAACGCAATTTCTTTTGTGCTCAAAAAAGAAATTAAAAGCCAGGAAAACAATATATGTAATCTATCTTATCTTATCTTGAAACAATAGCAAATATAACAATAATAAACGATTTTTTAGGACCAGATAACGTAAATATACAATAAGTAAAAAAAAATGTCTACATAATAATTTCACGCGTGGTAATATAAATTCACATGAAATTATTCAAAGCACTTAAGAATCAGCTTTGACCGGTATAAGCATTCTTTCTTACTTATTGTGTATTCAAAATATAACAATATTTTTTTGCACTTTATCCCAATATATAAAACATTATTTAAATAACTCTTTGGAAAATTTTTTATTTCGATTATAGTTTTCCGTATATATAGGTAATATTTAACTCATAGACTTATCGCGTTTTTCTCTATCAATGAAGTTAGTGTTATTTATATATTTGCATAGGCATACGTAATGCGAGTGAGAGGAAGCAATTATATTGTATTGGTATCAATCAATTGCTTTCCTTTTCCTAATAACAGCCTCTGCTAATAACAATAATAATTTTGAGATTGCAGTGCGACTATCGTAATTTAAGTCGCGTTACAATTTTAAATGCAAAGAGATATTGGCGTTGCGTATCGT